AGTGGGACTCCCTCTCCACTAAAAATAAAAAAAAAAACTAGCCTCACATTATGAGTCAATGCCCGTAGTTCCAGCTACTCGGGAGGCTGAGGCAGGAAGATCTCTTGAGCCCAGGAGTTTGAGGTCGCTGTGAGCTATGACATCATGGCACTCTACCCAGGGTGACTGAGTGAGACTTCGTCTCAAAAAAAAAAAAAGAAAAGGAACAGCCTAGGCAAAGGGTTGTTTTGTTCTTTCCGGGCCTTGGTTTCTTCAGTTGCAAAATGGGAGTGTCTATCTCTTCTTCACAATGTCTAATATACAGTAAGTGCACCGTTAAGTATCCATCCTTCTCTTCCAGGATAAGTCAGAACCATATGTGACTTCACCTCCACCCGCAAGACGGAGCTGTGGGCACACGGATAGAGCGCTCTAGGCATCGTCAGCGGCACCGGAAGTCTCGTTTTATTCCGCTTCCGCTCTCTGGCCAGGGACAGAGCTGCGTGGGGAAGACTTTCTGAAATGCCGACTGGAGACTTTGAGTGAGTAAAGGGGCGCCTGGGAGGCAGTTGCGGGGTCTTGGGGAGTATTACGGAGCCTGGGTGCACTCCGGGCGCTGGGGCCAAGCCTCGCTGACCCACCCCTTATCTCCCGGAAACTTATCCCCGCAGTTCGAAGCCGAGCTGGGCCGACCAGGTGGAAGAGGAGGGAGAGGACGGTGAGTGTCTCCTGGTGCCCCGGGTCACCGTGGCCCGTCCCCAGCCTAGCCACGCACTGCCGCCTGCCTCCACCCCTAAGCTGGCACCGCTGTCTGATTCCATATTCCCCGTCGGCGGCCAGCCCTAGCCACAGCCCAGCGCCATCCTCGGGACCAGCCTGTTGCCTTCTGCAGATGTTCACTGGCCAGTCCCTTTTCCTTCAGCGCCACTGGCCAGGTTCTCTCAGCTGCTCCCTTCCTCCTCCAAGGACGCTAGACCAGCGTGCCTTTGTACTAGCGCCTGGTCGGCTTTTTGGTTTGCCCCCAGCCCCCGCCCCTTTCGTGCTGGCGATCCCCTTTCCTTGCCACTCTGGGTCCCTACAGCGCACTGTCCCAGCCTCTGTCCTTTGTCAGCTTTTTGTGTGAGTGTTATCCCCAAAGCCCTTTCATCTCAGCTCCTGACCCCTCCACCCCACATTCTCTCTCCCAGACAAATGTGTAACCAGTGAGCTCCTCAAGGGGCTCCCTCTGGCCACTGGAGACACCAGCCCAGAGCCCGACCTACTGCCCGGAGGTGAGTGATGACTTCCACTCCATCCTAGGACTGCCCCTCCCCCCAGCCCTGTCCTGCCTGGTCTCTGACACTCAGGGCTCACTCCCTCTTGCCTTTTTCCTTTTCTCAGCTCCACTGCCACCTCCCAAGGAGGTCATCAATGGCAACATAAAGACAGTGACCGAGTACAAGATAGATGATGATGGCAAGAAGTTCAAGGTGGGAGCGGAGAGGCAGGGGAATGGGGACCCTTTTTTTTTTGAGACAGAGCCTCAAGCTGTCTCCCTGGGTAGAGTGCCATGGCATTACAGCTCACAGCAACCTCTAACCCCTGGGCTCAAGCGAGTCTCTTGCATCAGCCTCCCAAGTAGCTGGGACCACAGGTGCCCACCACAACGCCCGGCTATTTTTTGGTTGCAGCCATCATTGTTGTTCGTGGGCAGGACTGGATTTGAACCTGCCACCTTGGGTGTACGTGGCTGGCATCTTAGCCATTTGAGCCACAGGCGCCGATCCGGAGACCCTTGTTCTTAGGAGCATGTTGGTAAGGTCCTAAGAGCATGGAGGTGTGGGAAGCCCTAACATCTCCCCTTCTGTCCCCAGATTGTCCGCACCTTCAGGATTGAGACCCGGAAGGCCTCCAAGGCGGTTGCCAGGAGGAAGGTGAGCCTCTCCTAACCTCAGAGCTGACCCAGGGGACTTGGGAATCCTTGATCAGAGGTGGGTTTTAACTGTTGGTACCTGTTTTGTTGAAGCAAAATGGAGGCCTGGGGTATTTGCACTTTCTGAAAAGTCCATGGCACAGGAGGAAGTGGAGTTAGATTCTTATTCCTCTTTATCTCTCAGTCTGGAGGAAAAGAGCCAGTCTCTCCCTTGAGGTGGTCATAGCCTGTTTACCCAGGGCTGAGTGCTTCTGGAAGAAATGATAGCAGCCAATATAGTTACCCACTTTTCTGTGCACTTTGCTCCACATAGAAGGCACCTGGATGGAAGTGTTTCCTCATTTGTTTGATTTCCATAGAAGCCTAGAGAAATGGGAAGCATCTTATGGTCTTACAGGGGAGGAAGCTGAGGTTCCAGTGGTTTTACTTCAGGGTGAACTCTGCACATCCTTGGTTATCACTCCCAGATGGGGGCTAGTCCCACCAATCTGCAGGGACTCCAGAACTGTGAGCAGTGCCTCTGTCTCCCCACAACCCCAGCCAGCCTTTGTTTTTCTCTTTTGGAACATGGGGTTGGGAGCTGCCTCTGCATCCTGGGGCTGTCACTGTCACTGTTACTACTGTTCTGGGAGTGTTTGGGGAAGACAAGAAATGTGGCTGAAAGCCAAGATACTTTGGGGGTGGCTGTTGCAAGTGCCTCAGTGTGGGGCCCTGACCCATCCCTCCTCCCTACCCGAGCACAGAACTGGAAGAAGTTTGGGAACTCAGAGTTTGACCCCCCAGGGCCCAATGTGGCCACCACTACCGTTAGTGATGATGTCTCTATGACATTCATCACCAGCAAAGAGGTAAGTGGGGCAGCATGCTGGAGAGCTGGGGGGATGGGTACGGCAGTTGCCTCTGAGTTGCTCCCACCTGCCCCTGCCAGGACCTGAACTGCCAGGAGGAGGAGGACCCAATGAACAAGCTCAAGGGCCAGAAGATAGTGTCCTGCCGCATCTGCAAGGGAGACCACTGGACTACCCGTTGCCCCTACAAGGACACCCTGGGGCCCATGCAGAAGGAGCTGGCGGAGCAGCTGGGCCTGTCCACTGGCGAGAAAGAGAAGCTGCCAGGAGGTGTGGGACCGGATTACCTGCCAACAGCATGGATATTGTCACCAGTATCTGTGACCGTCACCCCCCTATCTGACAGCGTCGGCCCATTAGGCTGTGGCATGATCTTGGTTTGATGGTGTCTGGCAGATCCTTTTGCGCGTGCATGACTAAGCCTTGTGTGTTTGGGGAATGGTTGTCCTGTACGTGTGCAACTGGCCTGCTGTGATTGTGCTGGTGACTTCATTGACTGTTGTGGGTGTGCTCTCTTTACCCCAGGGTTCTGAATCTCCCCACCCATGTGTGCTCACACACATGTGCTTGTCTGTGCAGTTCACACCTGTGACTGTCAGGCTGCATCCTTCGGCATTATCTGTTGGTGGCGAGTCTGAGTCTAGATAGCTCTTCTCCTGTGACTTTGCACATTAGGTGCACTTGTCACCCACTCGTGGGAGATCTGGGGACTGTCCCTACTGTGTGTCCTATTTCTGCTGTCCCCTTGTGTTGTGAGGCTGGCCTCCCTCTGGCTCTCAGCCCCCTGGGGTGGAGAGCTATGGGCACCTGGGACTGTATCCACCCCTGTGGTTTCTGTCCCTGCTAGTGTTCCCTGCAGGGTGCTCAAGTGGTGTCAGTTTCCTGGACATGACCTTAGTGTCACTGTGGTCTCTGAGGCCTCAAAGAAGCCCCTGGACACATGCAGATTGGTACATGGTACCCAGGTCAGGGCTGGAGCTGCCAGTGTCCTGGCTGAATGTGACTGTGCTTTGGTCCTCAGAGCTGGAGCCTGTGCAGGCGGCTCAGAACAAGACAGGGAAATACGTGCCACCAAGCCTTCGGGATGGGGCCAGCCGCCGTGGGGAGTCCATGCAGCCTAACCGTAGAGGTGAGGGCTCCTAACATTGGGTGGGCACTTCCCAGGACCCTGTCGTCAATCCTTGAGAGTGTGCACATGTGGGAAATGAGCAGGTCCTCCCCCTCACAGCCACCTTGTCTTGCCCACACAGCTGATGACAATGCCACCATCCGTGTCACCAACCTTTCAGAGGACACACGTGAGACCGACCTACAGGAGCTCTTCCGGCCTTTTGGCTCCATCTCCCGCATCTACCTGGCTAAGGACAAGACCACTGGCCAGTCCAAGGTCGGGGGGTGGCCACAGTGGAGGGAGTGGGGGTCATTTGTCCTGGCTGCCAGCCCCCTGATCCTGTCTTGTCCATCCCTAAGGGCTTTGCCTTCATAAGCTTCCACCGCCGTGAGGATGCTGCACGTGCCATTGCTGGGGTATCTGGCTTTGGCTACGATCATCTCATCCTCAATGTTGAGTGGGCCAAGTAAGACCCCTGCCCTGACCCTATCCCCCTTTCCCAGCACCACAGCTGAGACTTAGGATGTCTGTGGGCCCCACCACAATGGGAGCAGTCACCCAGGCCCTTCAGAGGTGACAATCTCTTATTTTCCTTTGCCAAGGAAAGGGCAGACAGGCACCAGGCAATAGCTGCCAAGCCTAAAGCCCGTCGCTGCCCTGGCTCCATGTGCTCTCTGTCAACACCCCCTGTTTAAGTATCAGGTGTCTTGAGGTGCCCTTATTGGGAGGCTCTCTTGAAGCTCTCACCAGCTTCTCTCTCCCTAGGCCATCTACCAACTAAGCCAGCTGCCACCACACCACTTGGCCCTGGACCCTTGGCAAAAGAAGGCAACCTCTGATGGGGGCTCCAGCTCCAAGGACAATAAAAAGGCTCAAGATGCACTACAGGTGTCCTGTTTATTGTTGCACCTCATTGCCCTGTATAGCCGGGGTGGGGTGGGGGCCTGGAGGTCAATGCTGTGGGTGGGAAGCATGAGTCCCTGATGGAAGCCGCAGGCTGCTGAAGTGGCAGATGGAACCTGTTGGCACGTTGGGGCTGGGGGCCTTTGGTGCTCTGGGCTTTCACGTGGCACTTTGTGGCTCCAACACCTTGCAATGAGGAAGACTTGAAGCAAGTTACTTCTTGGGCTCTGCTCAGAAGATCGGGGGTTTAAGGTCTTGGGGTGGCTGTGACATCAAGGAACAGGGCTTACCCAACACTCTGGGTGTTCTCTTGGTTCTGGCCCCCACTGCAGGGTGGTGGTGGCAGTGGTAGCAGCCCGGGGGGGCACCACTGCCACATATAGGAGTGGGTGGATACAGAAGGCCAAGGGCATGAGGCCCCGCATCACTTGGTAGCCCAGGTAGGGCCCCAGCTCCAGGGCTGCCTCAGCTTGGGCCTTGTCTGCAAAGCCTGGACAGTGGGCATTCCAGTGCTGCCAGGCATCCACATTGAGCAGTCGTGTGACATGGTAGGGCATGTAGGAACTGGTGTATAGGGCAATGCCCCTCCCCACCAATAGCTTCTCTGCCACGGTCATACCAGGGCTGTGCAACACAGCCCACCCAAGGGCACTATAGGCTACCAGGCTGAGCAGCAGGGGCAGGCCACAGCCCAGGCCTGCCCGTGCCAGGCTTGTAAGCCTCAAGTTGGAGGTTGTCTGCTGTCCCCAGACACCTGATACAGGCCTCAACTTGGCCACCTCCTGCTATGGGCCCTTCAGATGGGAGAAGCTAAGTGTGGGCATGTCAGCAGGACTGCCAGGGCCCAGCCAACAGTGCTGAGGGCCCAGGCAATGTTTGGGCCACAGGTGGCTGTGGATGAAGAAAGGGTACACAATGCCCAGGTAGTGGTTGAGGGTGATGTAGGTGATGAAGATGACACTGCCCAGCAGGTTGCAGATGAAAAGGAAGTGCTCCAGGGGCATGCAGCCTCCCTATAGCGCCAGTGATTGGGTGGGTGCAGGTAGGCAGCCAGTGGGGGCAGCGTTAGGGTGCACAGCATATCACTGGCTGCCAGCTGAGCTAAGACCATAGCTGGGTGCCACAGGTGCTGCTGCTGTGTGCTGAAGCAGTACAGGACCCAGACCATTGGCAACTACAGCTACCACAACCTTGACCACCAGCATGGGCCACAGGAAGTCTCCCTGGAACCTACTGAGGACATGGTCAGCAGCCATTGAGAAGTTAGCTGGGCAGGGCTGGGCACAGGGCGTGGCTGCTGAGCTGTCCTCTGGGAGAATGATCCATGTCTGTCCTTGGACATGAGCCCTTCATGTGCTGTTGCACAGTGGGTTCTTTCCTCTCTCCAGAAAAGGGGTGTGATCCAGGGCTTTCAGCTGACAAGTTATGGGGGCTCTCCTGGGGTCCCTCACCCCACCCCAGTAAGCAGCTGGTGCAAACATGGAAGTCCCAGGCCTCAGTGCACATGGAAGGAAGCAGTGCCCACCCTGAGCCACTGGGTTGAGAGTGGAGGAATCCCCAGGCCACTATGACACTCTTTGAAGTCCAGCACATCAGAAAGTACTGCCCACTCGGTCAGTCAGGTCCACCCGGGTTCAGTTCCACATCTATCTGGACCAGCCCAGTTACCTGGCCCTAAATCTGGCTCCTGCTGTCTGCTCTCCCCATAGCCACCAGATGGTGCTGATGAGTTCCTGAGTGGGTCCTGCCCCTCCACTCCCAAGTGCTCAGGATCGACCCACAAGGCCAGGCAGTCCTATTCCATATGCTCTCTAACTTCCTGCCGCCAACCCACTCCAGTCACTGGCCAGATATCCTAAAGGCTCTCTTCCCACCTCCCTCTGATTTCTGGGGCCATCACAGCCAACCTGACATTGACCCTCCAAGACATGCCCTTTAGGAGACAAGAGCCCCTGACAAGGCCTTCGACCCAGCAGCATGAGGGCAGCCCCCGCCAGGCAGGAAGTCTTACATAGACCCATATTTTAACACCTCCCCAAAAAAACTTCCTGAAAACCAGTGGCTCCACTGCCACCCCTCAAGCCGCTGGATGTGTCCCTCATCCAATCAACCCATTTGCCCACTCCTTACCCAAGATGGTGACCACTATGCTCCCTATACACACTGGGCCCAGGCTCCTCACCAAGTTGAGAACAGGATGCTGGCCCAGCCTGTGGTTCTAACCTCAATCAGCAGTGTCCCACATGGCCACCTCCTTCCCTCTTCCCAAGCAGACATGTCATAGGGCCCTTACTGAGGATCCCCATAGCACAGCCAGCCCTGCCTGCTGCCCTCCCCACTGAAATTGCTCCCCTGCCTCGGTGGGAGAAACATACCCGGCCTCAGGACAGAAACTAGGTCAGACTCCTGCTGGACAGGGGCTCTCCCAGCAGGCCTCTCCCCTTTAACTGGGAAGCAGATGCAGAACTGGGCAGTTCAGGCATTTATTGTGGCAGGAGTTGGGAGGGACAGCTCCTTTATGAAAGGAAACTGAGGGCCGCACCTGAAGCCCCAGGCTGGGTCTCTCAGGCCCCAATCTGGGGCATTCCATCTACTTCTTGGGTGGCCGTGACTGGTCTTGACCACGATCCTGGGCATCCCTTCTGGACCCCAGCTTGCTGTGGGCTCTTCGGAGCCTCTTCTTAGGATTTGGCAGTCTCCGGTCACTGTGGCAACCTCTGCTTTGGTCCTTACCCTGATGCTGCCTGCCTGAAGGCCTGTAAGGCTGTCTCTGCTTGGTGGCTGTGGGGAACATGTCTGGGGGGGAAAGACTGTGTCAGCTAGGGACCTCACGGAACAAGGACAGGCCCCAGGCACCCAGCTGAACTGACCCTGCTACATACCCTCATCGGGTTCCTCGCCCACAGCCTGGCGAAAATACTCAGCCTCATCCTCTTCTTCTTCCTCCCTCTGGCAGTCCCCCTCTGCCTTGAGAGTTGGCCCAGGGTCCTCAGCATCACTGTCTTTGCTGGCCTTTGTCTGGGCCTTCTTCATGCCCTCCAGACTCTTCTTCCTGGAGGAGGCATGTCAGTGTGGCTACCTGCACCCAGGACCCTGTCCATCCACCAGCCACCTGCCACCCCGGACCTGTGGGCCTCACGCTGTTCCCTCTTGCGCTGGACGTTTTGGGCCTGCAGGGCCTGCCGCTGGGCCTTGAGCTGCAGTTTCTTCTCCTTGGCAGCCAAGATGGCCTGCAGCTCCTCCTCCGTCTTGTGCACTGAGGAGGACGTGGTTCAATGAGTGCAACCCCGCACCTATGACCCCTTGCTCCCCCCCCCCCCGTCACTGGTCTCACACTTGTGCCCCGCCAGCCCAGCTCACCAAAGTGGTGGAACATCACTTTGCCCTCCCCGACACCATCCTGGATCTTGATGAGCTGCAGGGTCATTCGAGGACCAATCTAGGGGATAAATGGGAGAAGACTTAGTCTTTCGTGGGGCTGGGGGCTGCCAGAGGAAGTCACTCCTATCCCCGGGCCTCACCTCAGTGAGTCGCACAGCACTCTGCTGGGCCTGCATATTGCCACGCCCTGAGACCGCTTGAGGCAGCTCAGTGATGTTGTGCTCGCCATCAGGCTCTGCCTCACTGTCTGATAGACCCGCACCCCTGTGCAGGGAACACATGGGGTTCAGCAGAGGATCCCAGGCTCCAGAGGTGGCTCTAGGGGCCCCTGGACAGGACTGTGATGGCCTCCCACACTATGCCCTCCTCACGTGGCCAGCAGCTCACTAATGTCCTGTAGACGGCTCATGTTGGGGAACTTCTCCTGGAGAAGTTTCTTCATCCCACGACTTGCACCCACAGGAACAACTTTGATACTACTGCGGGGGAAAAGCAGGGGAATGGACAGAGAGTAGGGAATGAAGTCATGAGGTCAGAGAGCAGCACCACACTTCTACCCTTTGGAAATCGCAAGGGCATTTACTTTGAGACTGGGCAATCATGAAGCCTCAACAGCAGAGCTGTCGCCTTCCACACCCTCCCCTAATGGAACACTCACTAATGCCGGAAGTCCAGCTCCTGTGATTCCGGGCTGTAGCTGAGAAGAAGGCAGCGCTTGACAGTGTTCAGATTCACCTGGGAGGGAAAGTGGTGGGAGCTTCAAGTGGCCTCACCGAGCTCCCACAGATGAATAGCAGTTGGGGTTGTGGGGCTATGAGTGGTGTCCATGGATCACCTGGGGCACTGGCCCCAATAAAGGGGCCCTAATGACTTCCTCATGACGAGCACCTCATATAAGCTCAACTTGAGAATGAATCAATGGTGCTAGAGATCTGGAGCTGGGGCTTTGGAGCCAGACAAAAATCTAAAAATCCAGGCCTGGTCAGGTGTGGTGTGTCTCACAACTGTAATCTCAGCTGCTTTGGGATGCTGAGGTAGGAGGATCACTTGAGCCCAGGAGTTCAAGGCTGCAGCAAGCTACAATTACAGCACTGCACTCCAGCCTGGGCAGCAGAGACCAGACAAAACACAATCAGCACAGATTTCCATTTGCCAAATGAAGAGGTGGCTGGGGATGGAAGGGTAATATTCTGGACACTCTTGCCCAACATCACTGAACACAAATGAAACATTTGTGACATAAGCATTCAGCAGACCACGGAACTGGAGCTCTCAGCCTCAGTTCTAAAAGGACTCAGTAATCAATCCAAAGGCCCACGGTACCCACTGCCTGCTCCATCCCAGCACACCAGCCACCCTGCCAGCCCAAGCCTACCTTGTGCACATTGATGGAGGGGAATAGGTTCTGGAACATGGTGGCCATAAGTTTCACATGCATGCCGTGAGGGCCGAAGCTGTTGAGTACCAGGAGGGGTGGGTGGACAAACTGCTGTTCGTGCATGCGGTGCCGGCGCAGTGAGGAAACCACATCACGCACCAATGTGTACTGCAGGGCAGAGTGAAGAGCAGGTGACTACCCACCACATGTGCTAGGGCCAGCTCCAAGCCCAGCTCCCACCCCACACATCCTCTCCCCACCCCTAATTCTCACCTTGTTAACCTGAAAGGTCAAAGTGGGACCTCCTGGGAGGCGCATCAGCTTCTGTAGGAGAACAAAGAATCAGTGAGGGTTGGGGTGACTACTTAGGGAGCTGGGGAGTGGAAACCTCCATCCCAACTCTTCTTCAGCGCGTTTACTTTGAAGCCAAAAATCACAGCAGCTCAGAAGCAAATGGGTTCATCATAAGAGACGGGGGAAGTGAGGGGCCCATGGGACGTGAAAAGTGAGGGTGCCCACTTACAAAGTAGACGTTGGTCTTTGTTTTGCTCAAGATCAAAAAGTGTGTGACCCCGAGGGGTCCAGCCACTGCCAAACAATCCTTTATGGAGTTCTTCTTACGAACCTAGAAATTACAAAAAAAAAAAAAGATAAACACAGATATTCCTCATTAAGCAAACTCTGTAAGCTTAAGCTTAAGATCCTGTTACATGTTCTTTCTTGCCTGTGACCATTCCAACAAACTCAAGGGAGTGAAATGATCCTGGCCCCTAGAGCCAATCAGACTTGAACTGAGTACTGCCTCTGTTCCTTGTTCAGGTGCACCTCCCCATTTGACAGATGAGTAAACCGAGGTCCAGTGGGATTAAGTAACTTGATCCAGGGCCTCTGGGCAAAGTGAAGTTTCCAATCCAGCTTCTCTGTCTCCAGAGACCAGTTTTTCTTTCTTTTTTTTTTCTCTAATTGAGACAGAGCCTCACTCTGTCACCCTGGTTAGAGTGCCATGACGTCGCAGCCTCAAACTCTCGGGCTCAAGTGATCCTTTTCTCAGCTGCTCGAGTAGCTTTAACTAGAGAAGCACGCCACAATGCCCAGCTAGTTCTTTTATTTTTAGTAGAGATGGGATCTCGCCCTTGCTTAAGCTGGTCTCAAACTCCTGAGTTCAAGAGATCCACCCGCTTCGGCCTCCCAGAGTGTTAGGATTACGGAAGTGAGCCACCGCGCCCGGCCCTAGCCTTAAATGTCAGGCTCAGGCAACCAACTAAGCCCCCAAAGCCCAGCGAGGCAGAGACAACGGTCCCCAACGAGTGTCCCTTTCTTCAACTGGGGAGACTGAGGACTCTCACGGTTTTACAGCGGGTGTCAGGACCACAAACGCGAAGACGGGGCCCAGAGGTGGGTGGGACGAGGGCTGCTTGGTACAGACCTGCAGGCGGGAGGCGGTGAGTGGCTCCATGACCCGCCGCAAGTCCTGACTAAGCTGCCGGACGCTGTGACCGGTGCAGCCCCGAGTGAACACGAACGAGTGAGGCTGTGCAGCATAGGCCTCGAGGTTGCGGACCTGCGCCTGGGCGCGCGCTCGTTTTTGGTGCCGGGACTGGGGGAGGCAAGAGACACGTGGTGAAACCCGAAGCCCACGCCGGGTTCCCGGTCTCGCTCCCCGCCTCCCCGGCCGCCGCGCCCTACCCGCCCAGACTGCCCCATGCTGCCTCCTCCACGAGGCCTCCTCCTTCCGCCGCTTCGGACCCTGTTCCGCTCACTTCCGGCGCCTAAGCAATGTCACGTGATACTAGCGCGACCGGATGGCGTCACTAGACAGGCCTGCGCATCAGGTAGCCTCGGAGAGCCGGGAGATGAAGCCTGACGTTTTGGCAAGGTTGCTATAGAGACACTGAGTGCCTGTTTCCATGGAAACCCGGGGCGGGTCTGTGTGACTCTCGGCTTTAGAGAAACTAATCCTAGTGTTCGAATCCCGCCTCGGCCGATTTACCCTCCAACTGTGATATAAAGACGCCCAAAGTATCCCAAAGCAAGGACAACCCGGGTCGAAACTCTCGACCCGTGATTTAAGAGAGGAAAGAGAATGTACGCACACTGGCGCCGAACACTTGGGGCAAAGCCTCAGTAGGGAAGAGAGCCTGTGACAGTTACTCATTTTCATCCCCCAACTCCTGAAGGCCAGATGTCCTCCTCCGGGACCCGGTCTGCGGAGGGGCTGAGTGATGGAAACTCCACATCACCCTCTGGAAACTCGGCAAGGCAGGCGCTTTGTGAATAATTCTCCCCCCTCTCCTTTTCCGGTTAACGCGACAGTCTTGGCCTCAGGCCCCCGGCTTCTACCCCAAACCTTATAATAGGGGGAAGAAACACCCCTTCCCTGCGCTAAACATCTCTCTCCCCCACACCCAGCTCCTTCCCTGTCCCCAGCTGTCTCCCTTCCGTGGTCTGCTCTCCTCTAGATTTTGTCTCTGTCACCAGTTGTGTCTCTCATCATCTATAAATTTCCACCTTTCTCTGCTGCCTGTCTGCATCCTCATTTCCTTCTCATTTCTCTTTCTGTTTCTCTCCACCTTCCCATGTCTCTCTCCCTGTCTGCTCCACATCTCTCTGCCTCTCCCTGTGTCTTTTTCTATTTCCCCATGTCTCTCCCTTCTCTGTCTCTTTCCCTCTGTTGTCAGCTCCTCTCTGTGACTGATGGAATTCCCTCTCTCTCTGCTGCCAATGGGGAAGTTGGAGAGGGCTGAAGGTGGGGGGCCAAGGGGCCCAGAGTGCAGGCCCCTCCCCAACCTCCCCAGGCCTGGAGCCCAGCCTGGCAGCCTCTCTCAGAACTGGATCCACCATTTCCTCTCTCAGCCCTGGAGTGCACTCGGGTTACTCGGAGTCCAGGACATTGTGGACAGGGAAGCAGGCTGCTGCTCCTGCGTGTTTCTGCTGACTGCAGGGCCATCCTACCAGTTGGAGACGCTGGGTGGACTCTAAGGGCCTTTATGTGAGTCTCTTTGTGTCTCTGAGAAATGACTGTATGGTTATTTCCCCGTTCTGTTCCTGTGTGATTTGACTTGTGTGAAAATGTGACCCAGTGTGTGGGACAGATGTGGCAGATGGTTATCTGGTGTCACTGTGTACCGGTTTAATGTCTCTGCTACCACTGTGTGATCACACATACGTGGGTGTGAAGGAGTCTGACACATAAGCCAAGGGCATTTTCCTTTAAGTTGTAGTGTATGTGTGCTTATGTTTTGAACATATAGTTGTTACCTGAAGGTGTCATGTGCTTTCGAGACAAGTTCCCTCTCTGTTGTGAGAGTGAAGTGCAATCATAGCTCACTGCAACCTCAGACTCTTAGAAGTATAGGCATACGACCACGGCCAACTACTTTTTCTATTATTTGTAGAGAGAAGGTCTCGCTGTGTTGCCCAGGCTGTTCTTGAACTACTGGCCTCTTGCTTTGCCGTCCCAAAGTGCTAGGATTACAGTAATGAGCCACCATGTCTGCCAGCAGTGTGTTTATTTTTATTTATTTTTATTGAGACAGAGTCTCACTTAGTCACCCTTGGTAGAGTGCCGTGGCGTCATAACTCACAGCAACCTCAAATTCTTGGGCTGAAGCAATTCTCTTGACTCAGCCTCCCTATTTGCTGGGACTACAGGTACCTACCACAGTGCCCTGCTTTTTGTTTGTTTGTTTGTTTAGCAGGCCTGGGATGGGTTCAAACCCCCCAGCCCTGGAGCATGTGGCTGGCACCTTATTTTTATTTTTACTATTATTTTTGAGACAGGGTCTTGCTCTGCTGCCCTGGCTAGACTGTAATGGTGTCATCACAGTTCACTACATTCCTGGGCTAAAGCAATCCTCCTGCCTCAGCCTCCTGGTTACCTGGGACTACAATCTTATACTATAATACCCAGCTAATTTTTCTTAATTTTAGTAGAAATGAGGTCTCACTCTTGCTCAGGCTGGTCTCCAACTCCTGACCTCAAGCAATTCTCCCATTTTGACCTCACAAAGTGCTGGGATTACAGGTGTGAGCCACCACACTTGGCCCAGTTGTGTCTTTATGGATGTGTGTCAGACAAATTCGTGGACAGAGGTATACACATATTCATTCTGATTCTGTCTTTGCTGCTCTGTTCAGTGGTTTGCATGCTTTTTGAGTACTGGGGTGTGTGTTGGTCTTCATGTCTGTTCTGCTATGTGTACATATACGTGCAACTGTTGTATTATACCTGTATGTGTCCTGAGGGCAAGCTACCTGAGCTGAATCCTATCCTGGTCCCTTTCTGGCTGTGTGATCACAGGCAAGTCACTCACCCTCTCTGAGTCTCAGTTTTCCCTGCTGGAAAATGGAGCTATGGGGCGGCACCTGTGGCTCAGTTGGTAGGGCGCCAGCCCCATATACCAAGGGTGGTGGGTTCAAACTCAGCCCTGGCCAAACAGCAATGAAAAAATAGCTAGGTGTTATGGTGGGCGCCTGTAGTTCCAGCTACTCGGGAGGCTGAGGCAAGAGAATCACCTAAGCCCAGGAGATGGAGGTTGCTGTGAGCTGTGATGCCATAGCACTCTACCGAGGACTCTACAAAAAAAGAAAAGGAAAGAAAATGGGGCTACATATAGAAGCCAGCTCAGGTTGTGAAGATTAAATGAGATAAAAGGCGAGGAGTTTAGAGCCCAGCCCAACACACAGCAGGTGCCCACTGATGTTCATAGTTCTATGCACAGTATGTGTGCATGTCTCTGGGACAGGGATCCTGTGTAGCCACGAGTCCTGCAGCCTCCCATGCTCTGTGCTCTGCTGTGGGGGGAGAAGAGGGATGTCCAGGGCACTGACCTGTGTTATCAGACACTTGTGGCCTGGGCGGGGGAGTCTGGCAATTCTGCCTGAGTTCTCATGCAGGAAATGCTAAATATTTACAGTTGGGGCTCCTGGCCCGAGCATCCCAGCCCCACTCCCAGGCTCTGGGGGCTGGGGGGGGGTGGTTACTAAGCTTCCTTTCTCTTTCTCTACCACCAGCCTCTCCCCTTCCCCAACTCAGAGGCCCCACTGGATCAGTAGCTCTTCCTCAGACTGCTCATGCCTGCTTCAAGCCTTGCTAGATTCAGGTTATGAGAGGTGAGAGGATAGGGCAGATAGAGTTGGTTCTGTTGGAAACACTGGGCTCTGCTTGGGTGGAGGGCTGCTAAGCCTCATCCTCACCAGGCTGAGGGTATGAGAGGCAATGGGTATTCTACACAGTCTGTAGCTCCTTGGGGCTTGGTTCTTCTCTGTTGCAAGAGCCAAGCATCAGTGAGGTGGGGACAAGGAGAGGACCCCCTTGCACCTTGGGAGCTCATGCTTGGCATGTGAGTCCAGTAGTGAATGTGCCCCTCCCCAGGTCAGAATCCTGCAGGGCTCCCACCTCACTCTGAGTAAAACCCCAGGTCCTTCGTGAGGCCCACAGGCTTTGCACACTTTGCTCCATCACCTCCCTGCCCTTACCTTCTCCTGCATCCTCCTCACTGTGTTCCCTGTTATTCCTCAGGCACGTCAAAAGCAAAGTTCAGCCTCAGGGCCTTTGCACTTGTAGTGTCCTCTGCCTAGAACACTCTCTCCCTTCCAGTCTTTTCTCAAGTGTCATATTACAGTGGGTTGGTTCCTGACTCTTCTATTTAAATGCATCCCCGTATTCTAGTACTCCCCCCACTTTTTTTTTGAGACAGAGTCTCACTGTCATCCTGGATAGAGTACTGTGGCATCATAGCTGACAGCAACCTCAAACTCTTGGGCTCAAGTGATTCTCTCTCTCTTTTTTTTTATTGAATGGTAACTATGTACATTAATGCACTTCTGGGGTACAGTGTGGGGTTTTCACATGCAATCTGAAATACTTCCATCAAACTGGTCAACACAGCCTTCATGTCATTTTCTCAGTTATTGCTTTAAAACATTCACATTCTACTCTTAGAAAGATTCACCTGTACCCCTATAAGATAAACTTCAGAAGTGATCCCTCCAAACCCCCTCCCTCCACCCATCCCCCCTCCCTTCTCCCTCCCTCCTCCCCATATTCTTAGGCTATTTGGTTATAGCTTTCATATCAAGTGATTCTCTTACGTCAGCCTCCTAAATAGCTAGGACGATAAGTGCCAGCCACAACACCTGGCTATTATTTTCTTTTAGAGATGGGGTCTTGCTCTTGCTCAGGTTGGTCTTGAACACCTGGGCTCAGGCAGCCCCCCCTCTTGACCTCCCAGAGTGCTGGGATTACAGGTACTCCCTACCTTCTGACCTACCTACAATTGTTTGACTTGTCTGTTTTCCCAACTAGAATGTCAGCTCCATAAGGGCAGGGATTTTCTGTTTTGGGCAAGGTCCTCATTGCCTAGAACAGCACATGGCAGACAATAGGCACTCTGAGCATGTGAATGAGGCAAAATGTGTATGATGCTGAAGACCACAGCACACATGCCTATGTGGCCACTAGGATGGATAGGTTTGGACATGGTAGAACCCAGTGCAGGTGGGAGTTACATGTGGGCATGTTTCAAATGTCAGCAGGTGCACACATGTGGACACAGGTATGCACATCCCTGTCTCAGAGGCTGTGTGTACTTCAGTATGCCCAGGAATGAAGACAGTGGGGCCCTGTGTGTGGACCCTGCATGGCCAGGGTGGGTGGCCATGAGGATGCCCCTTTGTTGAGTTCACAGGAACACTCAGGGGGCATACCACACTCCAGGCATGTGGGTTTGGGGTAGAGGGCTTCTAGGACCTGTTTTTGGCC